CCGCCGTTAGCCCTGCCCGGCGGGACCCGCCAGGGACCGAGCAGAGACCCAGGGGCTGCCCCCTCCCAGGCAGCGCGGCCAGGGGACCCCAGCGGGCCAGGCAGGGGGAAGCCGGGGACAGGGCGCAGGGAAACAGCTGCAGGTGCCTCCCAGATCCAGGAAACTCCTGCGCGCAGGTGGAGCGGGGCAGGGCTCGCCTCGCCTCCTTCCTGGCCCGCGCTAGGACTCGTCAGCCCTGGAGCTCCCCGGCTGTCGGGGGGCGTTTTCGCCGCGGAGTGCCCGGGAGCGGAGCTGCGGAAGGGGCCCGGGAGCAGGCTTGGCCAGGTGCGCTAGTTTGGGCAAAGCGGCTACGGAGAGCTGGTCTGTGAATCCTGGGAGGGAAAAGCTGCCCCACCTGCGAGTTTCCTTGGGCATCTTTTTTCAGCTATTTTTAACCCCCCCCAGTTAATAATAGGAGCTGGGCGGCTGCGTTTGCGGTACCTCGGCAAAGAGGCGAGAGGTTCAGGGAACAACTTTCTCACCGGGAGTGTTTTGGATCAGTTCAGTCTTATACAGCAACAGTCAGGGTAGTACTGCCTAAGGGTTAGATGTGAACAAAACCCTGTTGTCTGGTACAGAGCCCAGCACAGTCCCTGCCCCAAGGACCTTACAGTATAGACTAGACAGACACATGGGGTAGGAGAAAGAGAGAGAATGTACAGCAGAGCTGGGGAATCTTTTTTGGGTCCGGGGGCCGGTAGCCCACAGAAAAATCAGCTGGGGACCCCACACAAGTGAGAAGGGAAAAAGAAAAAAAAAAAAACCAAAAAACCCATCCTCACTGATGTGGTCCCTGACTGAGAAGAGAAAGACAGGGCCTAGGGGAGGCCCAGGCTAGTAGATTTTGTGTGCTTCAGCGAGCGGGGGTGGGAGAGGGGTGTAGTGTAGTGTAGCGGGGAGGACACAGAGGGACTGAAGACAAGTCAGGCTGTAAAACTGATATGCTGCTAGAGCAGTAAAGCTTTGTCCTTTAATAAGTCTGTTACTATTGTTTTCAAAATACAGAAGAGCAACAAAAATGAGCTTGCATATTACATTCCCTGGATAACGTTGTTGTATTTGTATATAATCAAACATTCCTGAGTATGCTATATAAGTATATTGTGCTGAGTGATATTTGATCTATCTTTAATTCGTTTCTTCCTTGGAGTTCTCCAAATTAGATGTTTTTAAGAACTTGACCATGATAAGGGTTTAAGGGATTTTGTGAAAACAATGTGCTCTAGGCTGTTGGATCCCATCACAAAACAGGCCTTGAAAGTAACTTCTGTAACAGGAAGACAGCCCTTTCAGAGGTCACTGGACCACACGCAGTTGTGGTTGGAAATGTATTAACCTCTTTTCTTTAAAGTCAGCCATCTGTTGAATAGCTCAGAGTAGTGATTTTTGTTGTCTGTAATGTGATTATTAAGAAATAGTCATCGTCTGAAAAGGTATAAAGGCAGTTTGAGTTGCAGAATGCACACTAAACTAAGGGATGTAATTTTCATCTTCTAGAACAAGCCTTCATAATTAAACATGAGTATACCTCAGCTTCCAAATTGTTTATCACCATAAAAGCAAACAACCCGAAAATCAACCCTACAGAATTATTTTTACTTAAAACCACGATGGATGTATTCCCCTGGCCTAAAAGCTCTTGTTTTGCTCTTAGCTGTGAAAGCCATGCTCATAGTTACATTTCATTTATTTATTTAGTGATGAGGAAGTGCCTACGAATCAAGATTTGAATTAGACCTTAATTTAAATGTGAGGAAAGGAATTATTATCGTAGAAGACTATTATTATTAGTAGAAGACTAATTTTGAATGGTGTGTGTAGCATAACACGCTTCAGTTGTGGTGTGGCAAATAGGATCAGAGATCACTCAATGAAATTAATAGGCAGGAGGTTTAAAGCAAACAGAAGTATTTCTTCTTACAATTATCAGAGGGGTAGCCGTGTTAGTCTGAATCTGCAAAAGTGGCGAGGAGTCCTGTGGCACCTTATAGACTAACTGAAGTGTAGGAGCATAAGCTTTCGTGGGCAAAGATCCACTTCATCCACTACATGCATCTGACGAAGTGGGTCTTTGCCCACGAAAGCTTATGCTCCTACACTTCAGTTAGTCTATAAGATGCCACAGGACTCCTTGCCGCTTCTTCTTACAATGTGGACTAAACCTGTGGAACTCATTGCCAGGGGATGCTGTTAAGGTCAAAACTGTAGCTAGATTTAAAAAAAAAAGAATTGGATCTAGCCGCCATGAACTTATCAACCAGTGGCTATTAGTCAAGATGGTCAGGGATGCAAAAGCCATGTTGTAGGTGTGCTGAAGCTTCTGACTGCCAGAGGCTGAGACCAGACAACAGGAGATTGTCCTGTTCTGTTCATCCTCTTTGAAGCATCTGTTACTGCTGGAAGACAGGATACAGCATAGGTGGGGAACCTTTTTTGGGTCAGGGGCCACCAACCCACAGAATAATCAGTTGGGGGCCACTTGTTACTTCAAGTGAGAAGTAAAAAACAAAAAAAATGAAAACCCCTCACTGTTGTGTGCCTCGTCTGAGAAGGAGAAAGACACTCCCCACTTTCACCTCTCACACCAGAGAGTAGAGGGGGGCCCAGCTTAGTAGATTTTGTGTGCTCCAGCACGGCAGTGGGGTGGGGACTGGAGTGCCAGCACAAACTCCCCAATGGTGGGGAGGCCCCTGAGCATCAGGGGCCGGATCCAGGCAAGCTGGGGGCTGCATCTATCCCCTAGGCCTGAGGTTCGCCACCCCTGGGATACAGTATGGCCATTCTTTTGTTCTAAATTACATACATATTTTGTAGTGGTGGTATTGAGCGAGGCATCTATATACACACATAACAAGAAGGTCCTTGCCCAAAAGACTACAATCTCAGACCCGGACCTCTCCAAGAAGTATGTTAGAATTTCTTACAGTACGTAAGATAAACAATCAGCTTCAATGAGACGACTCACATTGGGCAAAGTTAAGCATGTATATGTCTTGTCAGGATCCTAGCAAAGTATTTATTTTCCTTTCATTTATGCATCTTATGCAGCATCCTACATAAAGCAGCTTCCCATATTGCTTTCCAATGCTAAATGGATGCAAATATTTGTGACATGCATATAAATCATCGTAGAATTAAATTATATGTAAGGGAGAAGTAGTAGGAAGTTTGTTCCAGACAGCAGTAGCTGAAGAGAAGAAAGCTCTCAGACCATGGGGAGAGAGAGATATTAGGGATAAACAAGCAGAGATATTGGAGAGTAGAAAAGAAAGAACAGGGATTCTCTGAGACCAGAGAGAGCAGAAGAAAGAAGCAAGGCTAGTGGAGGATTTAAGTGTAGGAGGGCAAAATATCCTGGCAAGGTTGTACCCTAGTCCTGCGACCTATAGAGCACAGTCCCCCCCCCTGCAAGTTATAAATTTCAGGAGTGGGGCCTTAGCACATAAAATATGTTCAACATTTGCATATAGATACAGTAAATGAATGATCACCTCTTGATATGCCAAAATTGCTGCAAATGGACTTTTGTTGCTAGGGCTGCTTTACTTGTGTGCCCTCAGGTACTGCAACAAGCAGATGTGCCTTAGAAATGAACACTGTCAAATGAATAAGGAACAGAGATGCTCAGTTTTTACTCCCATGTGTGTCTTTCGTAAATGAAATGAGTTTTGGTGGTCACAGTGGAGCCTTTACTAAATAAAATCTCTTCCCATTAAAGAGCAGCCTGATGCCTTGTGGAACACTGAAAAATATTCTACTTAAAAGCAATTTTGCCTGCATGTCTTGTGTTTTCCTCCCTATGTTTTCGTCATTGGGGTCATTTGCATAAAAATCCAATCTTTGTTGCTTAAGAATTCATCTGCTTCCCTGGTTAAAGCCCCAGCCACCTTACAACAGTAACCAATTGTGAAATTGTGCAGGATTTTTTTTTTTTTTTTGCTTCGAAGTGGGGAATGAGCAGCAGGGAATCAATGAACTCTTCACTGCTTCATTGCTCCTTAACAGGACAAATGCACTGGGTAAAGAAACACCTCCTGTGCTGTCCAATGTACCAGGCACTGCAGAAATGCTAGCGAGGAGGATCATTGGTGCAGCTGTTGGGGAGCACAGATGTTGTTTGCACACTAGCATGCTCACAATGTTATGTTTTAAGGCAAAGGCAGACTTAGAAAGGAAGGCTGGTTGAGGAAGGAGGGTCTTGTGGTGAAGCCCCTGGCCTGGGATGTGAGCAATCTGGATTTAAGTCCTAGCTTGCCACCCGATGTTCCGCATGACCTTGAGCAAGTCCCTTAATTTCTCTCTCCTAATGTTCCTGCAAGATAGGGACAATAAACTTCCTTTGTCTGTTTGTCAGTTCTTGGGAACAGAGACTGTCCCTCTCTGTGGGTTTGTGTACAGCACCTAGCACCGTGGATCTCCTATCTCAGTTGGGGTCTCTCGGCTCTACTCAAATACGAATAAACAGAGGGGAAAGCTGGTGCGCCCCAGTGTGCCGCTCTGGCGAGGAGGAGGAGACGCGGCATGCTCCCAGCTGGGGTCCCGGGTTTCCTACTAAGCTGCAGGCAGGCAGATTAAATGAGCTGGCTGGGGGCATGCTCCCCCACCAATCTGGATCTGCTCCACTCTTGAGCCCCCACAGACACTATTTAGGGAAGGCTGGGGGGGCTACAGCCCTGTGCCCCTGGAGATTAGTTTAGGACGCTGCTTGCTGTCCCCCTTCCCCTCAGAGAGCAAGAGGAAATCACACAGTGTGCGTGCATGCCTCTCTCCCGACTGGGCAGGGGAGGGTGCAGAGGAGAGAGTGACCCACACTGTGAACTTCACTCTCACTCAAACAGCAAGAAGCCTCCTGGAATTAATTTTGTGGGAGGGGAGAACTTGTTTCCCCCCCCCCCCCCCCGCACCCTTGTCCCTCTGAATGCCTCCCATATACACACGCCCAAGCCCCACACCCTGAGACTTCCCATCCTGACTCCTTCACCCCCTACACACCCAGCTCCCTGCCCTGAGCCCTCCCACATCCACCACAAAACCCTCCCTGTCCCCCCTCCCCTCCTGACTCCACCCCACACTTAAATTTCTTACAGGTATTGTCAAATCACAATCCCCCAACCCTGTGCCCTTCGCCCACCAGAGGGGGCGTGTTTGTGATTCCACAGTACCTGTGAGAATTTTAAGTTACTTCACTTCTGCAGCTCAGTAAACATGGATTGTGTAATCAGGATGGATTCTTTGTGTGCATGTTTGTTAATTCCATCTACCAAGAAGTGTAATCAATAGGGATGTTAGAAACCCAAAGAAACAAACAAGGTCCCAGTAAGAACCATCAGAATCATCGTTATACATATCATCGTTCAGTCATTACCCTATTGTTATGTCCTATGCCCCCGCTGTGAAACCTTTGATTGGTCTCTGTACATTTATTGGGGTTAAACAGCCAACGGGGGAAGAGCTATCAAAGATAAAGGACAACTAACTAAGTAACTTCAGGCCAGGACTTTGTTTTCTTGTATTTATACTAAACATGTCCTATTAAGATGCCTTATTGGAGGCAGCTCCTATATTTTACAAGGTGTGTTTACAAGGATGTGGCTTGAAAGGCTGGTGCTGTTTAAAAAGCAGATTTGTGCCACTGTCGTCTTTTATGGCATCAAAAAATTACAGTGAGTTGTTCTTTCTTTTTCTTCCCCATCCCTTCTGACTAGGAGTAACAATACCATGAATCCTCTTCTGGGAAGTTTTCAACACGACGGGAATTTGTCTGAGGGGAATAGCTGACCTTCTGCTCGGCCCCCCAGACTTTTGGTTGGCATTATGGCTTCTGGTTGGGCATACAACTTCAACGTAAAAGATAAAATGCCTACGCTGAACAGCAGCACAGGTCTGAGGAGTGACTCTCATGTGCAAGAGCTGTTCCATGAGGAAGCACAACAGGTATGTTGAAAAGGCCCCTTCTCTGCGAACCACTAATCTCTGATTTCCATCTTCAGCACTGTAACAGGTTGTGGCGGAATCCTCCTCTACTGACATCTCAGTCTGGGACAGTGTCTCAGATATGTCACCTAAACAGAACAGCAGAGGAGAACCTGAGAAGAACCCAAGAATACCCTTACCATGACTCCATTAATGGAGAGCATGCTGATGGACGTCTCCTGTAACACTACTTCTTGTGCCTGATGATAAACTATCTTTATAGCTTTTATATCTAGCCTCCTGCACCAGACTGACTGAGGTCTTGTGACCCTGCCTTCTCTAAAACAGAGGCACTTTTTTCTGTGCTTCAGTCTGGTGTTATTTGTTCGATTGAGTTCTGTGTGACAGAGAGAGCAAACTAAAGACCAATTATTGGTGCTTTCTGCATCCATGTTCTGGAGCCTGCCATAGTTTCATGGCATTGCTGCTGACTATGAACCCTCATGGTTCTTTCCTATCACCCCTTTCCATTGTTACAGTGGGTGATGTCAGGTAAAGTGATGCTATAGCAAGCATCTTATCAGTAAACTAGTGAAATACAACCTAGATGTGGCTACTACAGTAAAACTCCAATAGTCTGGCATCCAATAGTCCGGCACTCATGATAGTCCGGCATCAAAATGGTAAGAGCCTAGTGAGTGAGCTTCGGCAAAAAATGAGTCACAAGGTAACAGCGGCAGCAGCTGAACTGAGCAAAAAGGGTAAAAAAGGCTTAAAAAAACTAAAACATTACAGTATACTGTATACAGTATGTACAATAAAAAGGGTTAAGAACACTTTATATACAGTATATAATGTATACAGTATATATATAACCAGTTTATAGTACCTCCTGATAGTCCGGCATATTTGATAATCCAGAACCACCTAGGTCCCATAGGTTTTGGATTATCGGAAGTCTACTGTATAAGGTGGGTGCATAACTGGCTGGATAATCGTTGTCAGAGAGTAGTTGTTAACAGTTCACAATCATGCTGGAAGGGCGTAACAAGTGGGGTTCCACAAGGGTCTGTTTTGGGACCAGTTCTGTTCAATATCTTCATCAACTATTTAGATGACCGCATAGAGAATACGATTATTAAATTTGCAGATGATACCAATCTGGGAGGGGTTGCAAGTGCTTTGGAGGATAGGGTCATAATTCAAAATGATCTGGACAAACTGGAGAAATGCTCTGAGGCAAACAGGATGAAATTTAATAAGGACAAATGCAAAGTACTCCACTTAGGAAGGAACAGTCAGAATGGGAAGTGTCTGTCTAGGAAGGAGTACTTCAGAAAGGGATCTAAGGGTCATAGTGGACCACAAGCTAAGTATGAGTCAACAGTGTGATACTGTTGCAAAAAAAGCAAACATAATTCTGGGATGCATTAACAGGAGTGTTGTGAGCAAGACGCGAGAAGTCATTCTTCTGCTCCACTCTGCGCTGATTATGTCTCAGTTTGAGTATTGTGTCCAGTTTTGGGTACCACGTTTCAAGAAAGATGTGGAGAAATTGGAGAAGGTCCAGAGAAGAGCAACAAAAATGATCAAAGACCTAGAAAACATGACCTATGAGGGAAGACTGAAAGAACTGGGTTTGTTTGGTTTAGTAAAGAGAAGACTGAGGGGGACATGATAGCAGTTTTCACGTTACAAAGAGGGGAGAGAAAAATTGTTCTTCTTGGCCTCCCGTGATAGGACAAGAAGCAATGGGCTTAAACTGCAGCAAGGGAGATTTAGGTTGGACATGAGGAAAAATGTCCTAACTGTCAGGGTGGTTAAACACTAGAATAAATTGCCTGGGGAAGTTGTGGAATCTCCATCCCTGGAGATATTTAAGAGCAGGTTAGACAGACATCCATCAAGGATGATTTGGTGGTTGGTCCTGCCGTGAGGGTAGGGGACTGGACTTAATGATCTCTCGAGGTCCCTTCCAGTTCTAGTGTTCTATGATTCTATGCTCAGATTACTCTGTTGTAGACACAGGCCACAGTGCTGCTTCTGCAGATATCCAGATGGCTGCATAGTTGTAACTGAAGGTGTTACTATCTTCTAGGTATCTCAAACACAGACCAAACCCTGGTGGAAGATACAGCTCTTCGTCTGGGAGCCAGTGCTCTTTGGGACCTGGGATGGCGTCTTTACTTCTTGCATGATCAACATTTTTGGAGTGGTTCTTTTTCTGAGGACCGGATGGCTAGTGGTGAGTGAAGGACAAACAGGGTAACATTGTGGATTAATGGGTAGGTTATTGTCCCTCCCCTCTCCCCATCACCATGGTTGCTTTTGATTTTGTGCTTAGTGAAGCAGTTAAATCTCTTGGTTTTTCTTCTCACTCTTCAGAATATGTAAATGACTGTGTTTAAAAATAGTGAGGCTGGGGCCGTTTTCGTGACTTCCCTGTAATGTGCTGTTCTGCAACTTCCAAACAAGCCTGATAATTCATAGGGAAGTCCATGTGTAATGGTGTATCCAAATATAACTCTCCAGGTAAAATGTATTGCCATGGTTACACATCCTCCGCTGGCCTCCTCCAAGCAGTACTGAAATAGTTGTGTTTCCAACATGAGAGTTTTAAATGGAGACCTGAATGAAGGGCCTTGGATAGCACAAAATTCTTGATCTCTAGGAGAGTCCCATTCGTGAGTCAAGGAGAGTGTACCTGCCAGTGTTGTGGCTTTAAGAGTGAGAATGAAGTGGGAGCACAGCCTGGTGGCCCCAGAGCAGAACACGGCTTGGCCAGCCGCTGAGGGGCCAGGAGCGCAGCCCAGGGGCCATCAGGAGTGCAGCCCAGAAGTCCCAGGAGCTGGGAGCAGAGCCCAGTGGGGCTAGGACTGCAGCCTGGCTGGCAGCAGGGCTGGTGGCTAGGAGAGTAGTGAGGGCCCTGATTTTCCTTGGTTCAGCAAATTCCCTTGCTTGGAACTGGAGTGTGAGGTCCAACCTGTACCTCTAGAAACCCCCTGTCCCTTAGCTCCACCTAGGGGATTAGTTCATTACTGACTCGGAAAACTAAGTGCTCCCCACTGAATCACTAATCCTTCAGCTGCCATGATTTTCCTTGGAAGCCTTTCCTCCATCAGTCACCCAGGGCTGACCCTTATGAAATCTGATACTCCACTGGTGTGACATCATTACTCAGGGCTCATTACTGATACCCACTAGTAGGGTTGCCAGGTGTCCGGTAGTCACGCAGACGGTCTGGTATTTTTGGCTCCTGTCCGGTAAAAAATTCAGAGAATACCGGACACCTAAAATGCTGGGCACCTGGCAACCCTACAAACACTCAGCACCCGGCTTCTCTCCCCCCACAAGTCCCCTCCGGCACCCAACACTCGCAGCTCCCTGACCCCTGCCGCCATGCTTACCTGGTTCCCCAAGGCTGCCGGCACAAAATGGCTGCCAGCCAAAAGACGCAGGGGAAGCAATGCTTCCCCTGGATCTTAGTACTCAACCCCTCCCCTGTTCCTATCCCTGCACTTAAAGGGGACATGCTATTTTAATGCTGTTTTATTTAATTTGGGGGGGGGGGGGCTTAATAAGTCCTTGGAGGCTTTTTTTTCTTTGCTCAACAACTTTGGTCTCTCCTCTCCCCCCTTTTCCCCCCTTCAACAGAATTTTTTCCTGGCGTTTTTTTTTTTGGGGGGGGGGGGGGAGTATTAAATATTTTTGTTTCAACCATATGGCAACCTTACCCAGCAGCCCAGACTCTAATAGTTGGGATTTTTCTTTTACCATTTGCTTCTCTTTCCCACATTAATTTCAACTGAGATGTCAGAAAGGTTTTCATAAAGCCTTCACCAACACAACTGTATTGCCTCCATCCCTCACTTTGCAATTCAATAGCAAGTGATTGGTGGCACAGTCAATACATAAAGCAACCCCCCCCCCCCCCAAATGAAATAGACCCAGGATTATTCAAATGAAATAGACACAGCATTATTAAAAGGGAAACTGAGCATGATGAAAAATAATGGCATTAGGCTTTGAAATCACTGGGGCTTCACATGAGCACAGGAGGTTGCTTGCCTAGATCTGATTGTAAGAGCAAGACCTTTGTTTGGAAACTTTTCTCAACAGAAGAGGTCAGGTCTTCCTACATATTATTACAGCAACAGCGCAGAGACAGCCTGAGCCTTACTGGAGGTATTTGGGCCACAGTGAAATGTTAAATAGTAATGCTAATGATGCATTCACAATGAGGCCAGACTTCGTTTTCCACTGATCCAGTAAAACCAACATCTAAACCAGCAGGCTATTGAACTAAAATAGGATTTCACAAGAATAGCAACATCCTGGATACATTTCTGGAAAAAAACAAAACAAAACCAAACAAACCCCTCCAACAACAACAACAACAAAAAGTCTGGGACTTAGACCAGCACAAAATAGAAGCAGTCGCTGCCTGTTGCTGATGAGAAACAATATGGTGCCAGAGGCCAGTGTGTCCTCACATACATACACCACAGGAATGGAGACAGAGCGAGAGCTTGTCAGTCAACAGCAGGGAAGAAATTATGCAACACTATAATGTAGTAATGGGAGCAGTGCTGTGGGGGAGGGCAGGATAGGGAGAGGTTTCCAGTCCTCTCTGCATTGGCATGGTGTCCCGGATGAGTTTTCAGTGGAAATGACTGCGATTCAGAGATCAAGAAGTTACACTAGCTGGGGAAGTTCAGCAAGAGTATAAAGAGATACTTTTGACCCCGCAAAAGAGATTCCTGCAATATTTAGAACAAGCAGAAGACAGCAAAAACAGGGGTCACAAAAGAAGCATTTGATGTCAGAACTCCCTGAGGGACCTGAACAGCCTAAATTCTAGTTCACTTTTGGAATCCTGACCTTTTGACTTGAATAGAAAGGCCAACCAAATGTGACAAGCATCATTCAAACTGAAAGCACGTGTTCTGGCAGATGGTGGAAGGCTATGACCTATATTGCTATCAAGGTACACAAGATGACTAACCTGCTGCAGGTACCAAAGGCTGTGTGGCACACGATGACAAAAGCATTACATTTTCCTGGGAAGAGTAGGATTTCCTTGCCAGCCTGTGAAGGGCTATTGGATTCCCATATAAATGCCCTTCCCGCCCATTCACTAACTCAGGACACTGCTGCAGCCATTGGATACATGGCAAAAGGATTTAAGATATGATTAGCAGTCTTTTAATGTAGCTTAGCAGACGAGACTGCGTCGTGTGCCAAGGCAGCTGTTTGTGGACCTCTGCACCAGGTCAGGAAGTGAGGAGTCCCGGGCTGCACAAATCCGCTTGTGATACCACCAGGAGGAGATCCAATTTCCATGATGCAGAGGCACTGAGCAGGCCTGCTTGAAAGGTCAGGACTATCCAACCATCTGGGGAAAGCTGGAAGAGCACGTGGAGGTGGATTGAGATATTGTGTCCCCTGACACAGTGTGCAGTCCAGATAAAGACCAGCAAGTAATTATTTATCATAGGTTTATTTTTTGTCTTGTATATGAAGTGTATTTTTCCTCCTTTGGTAATTCATTGACTTGGGTGTTAGCAATGTAGTAGGTCTGAGCGGCTTAGATTTTTCAGAAGCATCCATCTCAGTTGGCGCTGCCGTTGGCTGGCTGAATCTCTCTGAAAATCCAATCATTTAGGGCCCTAAGAAATGGGCTTTCTGAAAATCCAGGCAGGTATTTCAGGACCAGATCAGTGCTGAGGTGTTTAGTTTTGTCTTTATCTGACCCAGTCTTTGTAATAACCGTGATATTTCTTTTTTACCCCTTTCCCCCATTTTACCTTGTGGCGGATTATTCATGATTATTAGGGAGTTGTAGCTCTGAAACTTCTGCTGGGTGGTGATCTGCTCGTGACAATATCCCTGCTGTGTCAATTGACAGATCGAGGGTTCAGCGAGATAACCCAGTAGTTTTCAAACTATTGGCTGGGACCGAATATCAGGCACTTGGTCTTCTTGCTGCAGGGTGATCAGGTGACTGGGACGGGGTGTATGCGCTAAGGCAGGCTGCCTGCTTTTCCTGGCACCACAGACCGTGCTGCACCCCAGAAGTGGCTGGCAGCAGTCCCAATTCCTAGGTGGAGAGGGGAGTGCGCACAGAGCTCCATGCACTGCCCCTGTCCTGAGCACTAGCTCTGCACTCCCATTGGCTGGGAACCTGCTGTTGGCTGCTTGTGGGGTGCAGCATGGTCTGCAGTGCCAGGAAAAGCAGGAAGCTGCCTTAGCACCCCCATTGCACCACTGACTGGGAGCCACTCAAGGTAAGCCCCTCTGCCATAGTCTAGACCTCCCTCCCAAACTAGAGCCCCCTATTACACCCAAAACTCATCCTCAGCCACACCCTGTACCGGGCATTAGCACTTTTCTTCAAATGGATCATGAGAAAAAAAGTTTGAAACCCACTGAGATACCTTATGCTTCAGAAACTTGTACAACATAGGGCTTTGTTGGAGAGACCCTCCCTTGTTGTTCACAGTAGAATTGCCTGGAAAGATCCAGTGGGGATAAATATTATATGGTGATTTATTATTATTTGTACTGAGCTAGCACCTAGGAGCCATATTCCTGGGCACTGGACCTACATACAGAACAAAAAAGGCAGCCAGCCCCTAAATCCCAAAGACTTGAACATAATGCAAGATTTTTACAATTAACATACATTTCTGTGACTGCTAAATTGCCAGAAGCGTGTGTGTTATTTAATCTGAATATAAAATAACCTACAGTGAACAGACACAATGTGTTAGAGGTTACTGGAGTCTCATGAGGAGGTTAGGTCTTTTTTTTTTTTTTTTTCTTGCCCTGAAAAATTTCCCTTGTGTTCTTCAGTAACTTTGTTTCTCCGTTACAGGGAAACACCGGCATTTTAATGGGCATGTTTCTGGTGTCCTTTGTTGTCGTGGTTGCCCTAGTAACTGTCTTGTCTGGAATTGGCGTTTGTGAGCGGTGCAGCGTTGGAAGTGGAGGAGTCTATTCCATGATTTCTACTGTCCTCGGGGGTCAAGTTGGAGGGACCATTGGCCTTCTTTACATTTTTGGTCAGGTAAAAATGATTGGTGCTGCAAGCGTACCCTGGGTCCTTTTCTTCCATGCTCTAAAGTACAGAAGATGATGCTACTGAGAAGGAAAAAGCAGAGTTGTAGGCATATAATTCCATTCTTATTGATATGATCAAGCTTAGGCCCACCAACAGGGAGGCAAAGGGGGCAGCTGCCCTAGGGCCTGGTAATTCAGAAGGGCCTGGGGCTCACGGACGGCTGCTCTTGCAGCATAGGTGGTGGCCGGAGCCTGGCCCTTTAAATTGCTGCCAGATCCCTGTGCAGCATTTTCCAGGCAGCCTCCTCCCACTTTCAGGGCTATGACCCAGCCCCACCCCTTCTTTCCCAAGCCCTACCCCTTCCATGAGCACGGAGCCAGGCCCCACCCATCTTATTTTGCCCAGGGGCAATTCTGTCAGTCTTCACTCCTGCCCTATCAGGCTTGTTGCCACATATCTATGGTAAATACATCAGTGAGTACAGTTCAAAAAGGAGGGTCTGTCCTGCAGGGTGTGACTAGGGAGATTAATGATTTCCTCCTGATGTACAGAGCCATCTCTGGCACAGTCTGAAAGGTCTCTGCTGTCCTGAGACGCTGGTAATGGGACCAATGACCAGCATGTGGGGAAAACAAATTAGGCAGTTTGGAGAGACAGTAGTGTCCGGGCCATTAAAAAAAAGCCATTTTTCCGCTCTTTGTTTTTAGAGAGACACTGGTGTGCCGCTGCCATGGTGGATTAAAATTAAAGGGTTAAGAAACATAAACAACTATCCCTACTAGAAGAAAGTGGTTATTAATGCCCATAGTAATTGAAGAAAATAAAGGTATGAGAAATGCCAGCAAGTATCACACGCAGAGAAGAATTGTTCATTTAAATGCCAATATTTAAATGCAGCTGTCTTTAAGCACTGGTCAGTTCTAAAAGTCAACACAAAGTACAAATTCATTAGTTACAAGACGGGATAAGAAAAAGACCCACATATACACTTTGCACTGTAATCCCTCTTTGCCCCTGGCTGAGGAAAGTGAGTGAGTCGTGCATCACGCAGGGCTATCCTGAGGGTGGTGTGAGGTCTGGGGCAGCTCCCCTTCCCCCACTGCCCCACATGCAGGACTTGGGGCAACCTCCCACCACATCCTCACTCCTACTCCACCCCTTGCCCCATGTCCCATCCTGCTCCGCGCCCACCCCATCTCCTTAGCTCATCCCCTGAGCAACGCAACCCAGGGCATAATGGGGTCCTGGTGTGGCGACAGCAGGGGTTGCCTCCGCCCCCTCCCCACTCACCACACAGGCAGCAAGAGCAGGAGCGGTCCAGCAGCCTGCTCCATGTCTCTCTCCCAACCCACTGTGCCTCACTTCTCCACAGCAGGGGGAGCTAGAGCGCCCTGGGGTGGGACACTCTGCTTCCCACTGCGACCGAGAAGCCGTATGCAGAGGGCCGGGAGTGGGGAGGCCACCTCTATTGCTGCCACACCCAGACCCCATTATCCTCTGGTCCCTCCCATTCATAAGATGGTTGGCGCAGCTGCTGCTCAGAAGTTCAAATACCCACATTGTAATGCTCTCACATGCACCCACTCAGTTTTTGAACCACTCAGTTTGGTGCATACTGACGTCCACGTGTGTCTGTGCAAAGGGGCACACGTGCCTGTGCATATGTCTGTGCAAAGGGCCTGGCAGTTCAAAAGGGCCTGGGGCTCCCGGCCAGTGCTGGGCCATTTAAATCACCGCCGGAGCATTGCAGTGGGTGGGGGCGAGTGTGATACCCTGCATTCCGGGCAGTGCTGAGGGCAGGCTGTCCCGGCCCCGCCCCTTCTGCCTTAGGCTCCGCCCCTTCTGGGAGCACAGAACCAGGTCCTCCACCACTTTGCCCAGATCTCCAATGAAGAACACAAGTCCTACTCTGCATCCAGAAAAACAAATAGCTCTCCCCAGACCTCGTGGAATATGAGCAGCAGCGGATATAGGGCAGGGCGAGTGGGGCGGCTGCCCCGGGCCATGTGCTTCAGTAGGCCCCGCGCCAGTGCCAGGGGCACACTGGCCCAGTGGGATACTGGGAATTTCCCGGTGGGCTGTCCGCCGAAGGGCTGGCTGGCGGCTGCTGGAGGAAGAAGGGGATTGTGACAGGGCGCCGCAGCTCTGTATTTTAAATTCCCTGGCGCCAGCCAGTACGGGCCATGTGGGGCCGAGGGAGCACATGCGCGGCGTGCTGAAACGCTGCGTGACAGCTGAGAGGGCAGACGCCTGGGAGTGGCGTGATGTCACGGCCCAGCATTGCACCGCTCAGTTCAGCACGTGGTCTGGAGCCTGGGCTGGGTGTGTGGCCATCCGGCAAACTGGAAGGCAGAAGGTGGATGGCAGAGGAAGAGGCTTGTGCTGAGGGGACGGGGTCAGGTCAGGAGAAGAAAGGGGAAGACACCAAGGGACAGCGTGGAGGAGAGACAAATGCCACGGGGCCAAGTGCAGACAATGAGGAAAAGGGTTGGGGGGAGGTGTCAGTGGGAGGGGGGATAAGGTGATGCTGGGAAAGGAGAGAGTAAGGGCATTGGGGACTAAAGAGGGGAGGGGGAAGTGCTAGGAGAAGGCTTGAAAGAAGGGGTGAGAATGAGGAAGGTGGGAATGGAACAAAGCATGTGTGAGGACACGGGCATGAGGGGAACGGGGGGCAGAGGGTGGTGAGGGGGTGGGCCTCAGGGAAAAAGAGGGCAAAGGGTGCAGGGGCAGTGAGGGAAGGGGGAAGCACCAGGAGGGTGCAGGGATAAGGGAAGGGGCAGGTGCGGGGGATTCTGGGGGGGAAGCAGAAGGGTAGACACCTGCAGGGGAGGGACCAGCACCAGAGGAGAGAGGCAGGGCAGGTGTGTAGAGGGAGGTGTTAGGAGAGGGGATGAGGAGGGGTAGCTCACATGATCAGAGTGGGGCTACTGGAGGAGTGGGCACAGGGGGGGATGCCTTTTTTCTATTTTTTCTCCAAAAGGGGCCCCGCAAAATTGTGCTGCCCTGGGCCCCGCAAAACTCTCATCCGCCCCTGAATATGAGTTGCACAATACATGCAAGCTACATTCCAGTGAAGAGATAGGGAACCGGTGAAACAGCAAACGTCAAATCCAAACCAAATACTGAGTTAGAAACCTTGAAAACAATAAAGCGGGAAGCAGTCAGTCATTCCCTAAGCAGGTGCTTTAAAGAGGACCTATTGCTGGTCACAGAAAGAAAGGAAAACAAGAAATTACGGAGACATGCTCTTATTTTGTGCTTTGGTTGGGTCAATCTATTTTATTTCGCTTCAGAATATTTTTCAGCAGATGCACAGTGTGTCTCTTGTGTCAATATGGCAAATCCATTATGCCCTTGCCTTTACTTACTTCATTGAGTTGCATTCTGTTGCTTTAAAAAGGGTGCATTTTGGAGCTGATAAAAGGTAGTGGATTGACAGTCTCAGAGTCATAAGTCCCCTATTGACCCATGGAATGGGTTCAAACTTGCTTACACAACCCTACCAACATACATCATTCTTGTGTGAGAAGTCTCGTGTTCCTTCTCCATGTGAATGTTGGCCCAGGAATCCTTGGTCTCTTTGAAGTTATGTTAAGGCTGTGGATAGGTCACTGGTAGCTAAGTGGGCATCAAACTCTGGGCCAACTATAAAGACCAACATTGTTACCAAAGGCTGTAGCAACCTGTATGTATAATTAGAAGGGTGGGGATTGCAGTAACCAGAGTCATAGGTGGGTAGCAATGAGGAGTCCTGTAGCACCTTAAAGACTAACAGATTTAGTTGGGCATAAGCTTTCATGGGTAAAAACCATTTTGTCAGATGCATGGAGACGAAGTGTTTTTTAACCCACGAAGGCTAATGCCGAAATACACTTGTTAGTCTTTAACATGCATCAGGAGTCCTCATTATACTACCCAGAGTGCAGCTTGTGATGTTGTGTCTGTCTTGTGGGGATTTGATTGAGGTGACCAAATTCCTTTCACATCTAGCCCTGGTTTTTACTGGGACTTTATTTCGAAATAATCTCCCTCCCTAGGTCGAATTTATAAGTGGAGCATCCACGCTACCAAGCCCGTTATTTATAAATAACAGGCTGCGGACTTTGAAATCTATACTCCTGCTTTTCGTCAGGCATAATGCTAATTCCGAAATAGTTATTTCAAAACAACGGTAGTGTGGATGCTTCGATGCTCCTGTTTCGAAATAATTACTCCCCAGTGCTTCCTGGGAGTCTAGGTCGAGATAGCGTGTCCACTTTAACAGAACCTGCCTTGGACTAATTTTGAGGCTTCCCTCAAAGTGGACACACTTGTTTGAAGTTGTTAAATCGGGAGTTAAGTCAAATTTAGTTTTTTATAAATACTTTGCTAGTGTAGACACGGTCCAGTTGAGGTGCAGCCATCAGATGGTAGCGACCTTCAGTCAATGCCATCGTGGACTGGCTCAAACTAAAAGGTGGAAGGCTCTGTACCTTGCCACCAATGCCCTGAGCCATCCAACATCCTCCTGTACAGGTGTGTTAAATGTCCAGTGCTTGCTCTGGGTGGGCGCTTATGTTTAACTGTCTTTCAGTGTGTTGCAGGTGCTATGTACATCACCGGGTTTGCGGAATCCATCTCCGACCTACTGGGTTTCAGTAGCACTTGGGCAGTTAGAGGCATTTCACTTGCAGTCCTGCTCTGTCTGCTTGGAATTAACCTGGCTGGGGTTAAATGGATAATTCGGCTGCAGTTGTTACTGCTCTTCTTGCTGGCTGTTTCTACGCTGGACTTTGTCATTGGATCATTCACGCACCTAGATCCAGGTAAAATGTCACGAATGCTTCATGTTCACAGTTGCAACTGTATTTAACATGGGTTGAATTTTGTTTTCCCCTTAATTTATGTTTTTGTGAATGTTAAATCCAAACAAAAATATGGACCAAAACTTCCAGATGTGAATCCCTAAAGTTAGGCACCTATCCAGAGCCCCTGTCCTGCAAGCACGTAGGACATCTCTACACTACAGCCCTTAGGTGACCTGTGTTGGGGTGACTTACAGCTACCACAGAATTTGCTGTGATGGCTGATGTCCACACTACTTTCCTTCTGTCCGAGGTACGTGTCCTCACCAGAAGCACTTCCGCCGACTGAAGAGGGGTAGTGTGGGGTGGTTGAGAGCTCTGCTTGCACCCCTCTGGCTGCCTGCTGCTGGCTGAGAGGAGGGGGCAGCCACCTGGCCTAGTTGGCATCCATAGTGGGAAGCCTCCAGTGTGAAGCCTCGCTAGGAGTGGGGAGTCAGTTTTATGCCTGACTTTAACTGCCCAGCTTTCTTGTCAGTTTCATGCAGGGCCATCCTTACCCATAGGCAAAATACACAAAATGCACTGGGCACCTGAAAATTTGAGGCTCCACTGGGTCTTAATGCCCACCCATCCACTCTTCCTATTCCTTGTCTGTGGCTTTGCTTCCTCTGGAAAGGATCTAGTTAACTTAAAAGTGAAAAAACCTGTCAGAGCTATTAGCAGAACACTGAACCTAAGAAAGAGCCATTCAAGTGGTAATGAAAGTATTTAACAGGCATTTGCCAACTCCCGGTATATACTGTCAGTTTTTGGGTTAGTCTACTGTGTTAGTCTACCAAACCTTAGTTTAAAATTTGCTTTAAAAATATTTCATTAGCGTGTTAGTGAAGATGATAAAATCACATCTCTAAAAATGTCCCCTGCATTGCTGTAGAGGGCATAGAGACGCCTGTTTAATAGTATTGTGTTGGGCCCCATAAATCCTAAGAACGGCCCTGGTTTCACAGCTCCATGGTGGAGCCATGGAATTGACAAGACAGCCAAAAGCTGATTGTTACCCTAATGCCACCAGCGTGTGGAGGTGGAGTAAGGCACTTACATTAGCAGGACAAGGCTGTAGTGTGTGCGCTGACATAATTAGGTTGACGTAAGCTGCAGCTTACATTGACCTAACTATGTAGTGTACAGGGCATCTCTGCTATAAGTTGCCCTGATATACATCCACTCCATGGTAAAGTCATTGACACCTAGAGCAACTGATGTGTTATTCCCATTCCCCACCCTTAAGTTACGCAAAAAAATAATAATAATAATTTGTACAAATGGAAGTCAGACGCGGGAAAAAAATTCCCCGCTTTAAGTTGTTTTGCTATAAGTCCAAGTTTTTTGGAACGTATCTTGGACTTCTAGCAAGGACAGCCTGTGGACTAGGCCTAAGAAACATCTCTAAACACAGGTACCAATGTTTGCAGTATTGGAACCATAGGTCCCTGACTGTGGTACCTAAATGTTAGTACCTCCTTGTAAAAGTGCTGGCTATAATCTTTCATTGAGTGTTGAGTTTCTGAAAGCTTTCTAACAATAGGAAACTGTGTGCATTAATAGAGCTGCTATTTCCAATGAACCAGTTTTTAGAAGAGTTGTAGTCATAAAGACTGAGGATTGCAAATGTACATTAAGAAATGTTTCTTATCCATTTGATGTCTGTAATATCCTTTACAAAACAAAATGGTGAGGCTATAATGAATTTTATGACAGTACACCAAACATAGTGGACAATAGTGGCAATCTTGTCTCCTTTTCCTCTTGTGCCCTTCCCCCAGTCTGTGTTGTCTATAGCCACCTTCTGTCTCTTGTCTTAGACTGTAAATTTTCAGGGGGCAGAGATTTGTCTTTTTATTCTGGCTTTGATTCTACAGCACATGGTATAAGGGGTCGTGGTTTGCGACTGAGGTCCTAGGTGCTACCTTAAAGCAAATGCAGTAACATCTTGCTTAACATTGTAGTTATGATGCTGAAAAATGCTACCTTTAAGCAAAATGATGTTAAGTGAATCTAATTTCCCCATGAGAATTAATGTAAACGGGAGGGGTTAGGTTCCAGGGAAATTTTTTTAGCCAGACAAAAGACATTATATGCACATACAGTAGAAGTTTTAAATTATTGTAAACAAATGGTTTAATACTGTACTCATCAATGATTGTGAAGCCTGGTTGAAGCAGGGACGTAGTGTGGATGGGGCGGGGATCTTTTTGTGTCCTGCCCTATCAGTGCTCTTGTCAGGGACTTGTCCCACTCTGCCTGCCTGGCACTGCTGCCTGGGAGTGGGGTTGGTGTGTAGGGGCATGCTCTATTCCTCCTGGGGAGCAGGGTTGGGGGCTCGACCACTGTGCAGCTGGCAGGCTGTGACGGGGAAATGCAACAAGCCTCAGTCCCTGAACCCCTCCCTGGCTAGAATGCCAGGCAGACAGGAGGAGCCAAACAACCTTATAATGGAACATTGTTCAACTTTAAATGAGTATGTTCTCTGTTAGATCAGCAACTGAATAACAAAACAGTGTATTCACTGGGGTGACTTTAAGTGAGGAAAAACTTAAAAAACAACAAATAGTCTAGCAGCACCTTTAAGGACTAACAAAAAGAAGTGGGTTTTGCCCACGAAAGGTCATGATGCCATCTACATGTTTTGTTAGTCTCTAAGGTGCTACTAGACTATTCGTTGTTTTTTAAGTTTTTCCAGTTACAGGCTAACTCGGCTACCCCTCTGAAGCTTTTAAAGTGAGGAGTTACTGAACTAAATAAAAATACTAATTGTCACCAGGAAAATATTCTTACTTACAATGTGAAAACCCTAAACATAGATGGAGTATAATTTTGAATTTTTTGTTTCGGTTCTTTTCAGATCTGCTCTCTGTTATTGTAATCAGCAGCATGATCTGTATGAAATATTAGCATGAATATCCAAAATGCTTTTAGTTTGAAAACTTCTGGCACTTCATTGTGACTTCAATATCAATTCTCTTTTTATAGCTTTTTGCATTGAAATGCACCACTTTTAGTAAAAAAGAAATGTACAGGATGACAGGTGACCTAGTTAAGGAGGGGGAACATTTTCAGCGAGAAGGAAAGTCTTTTAAGGCTGGTTGTCGTTCAGGGTTGGATACAAACATCTCTGCACTTAATAATAACTCCTACGGTATGGAATAATGTTAACCATGCTATTTCTCTCAGCCAGGGATCACAGAAGCATCAGGGTTGGCCCACAACATTTTGGCACCTGAGGCGGGGACCTCAAATCATAGAATCATAGAATACTAGGACTGGTAGGGACCTCGAGAGATCATCGAGTCCAGTCTCCTGCCCTCATGGCAGGACCAAATACTGTCTAGACCATCCCTGATAGATATTTATCTAACCTACTCTTAAATAGCTCCAGAGATGGAGATTCCACAACCTCCCTGGGCAATTTATTCCAGTGTCTGACTACCCTGACAGTTAGGAACTTTTTCCTAATGTCCAACCTAAACCTCCCTTGCTGCAGTTTAAACCCATTGCTTCTTGTTCTATCCTCAGAGGCCATGATGAACAAGTTTTCTCCCTCCTCCTTATGACACCCTTTTAAATATCTGAAAACGTCTATCATGTCCCCCCTCAATCTTCTCTTTTCTAAACTAAACAAACCCAATTCTTTCAGTCTTCCCTCATAGGTCATGTTCTCTAGACCTTTAATCATTCTCGTTTCTCTTCTCTGGACCTTCTCCAATTTCTCCACATCTTTCTTGAAATGTGGTGCCCAGAACTGGACACAATACTCCAACTGAGGCCTAACCAGCGCTGAGTAGAGCGGAAGAATGACTTCTCGTGTCTTGCTCACAACACACCTGTTAATGTATCCCAGAATCATGTTTGCTTTCTTTGCAACAGCATCACACTGTTACAGCATCACAACAGCATCAAATGACGCCCCCATGCCTCCTTGCTTGGGCCAAAACTTTGAAAGGTCTCAATTCTGCCTTCTTCCTGTTCTACTTGTCTCACGGTACTGCAGAAAGAATACATATGCACCAGCAGCAGACACAATTTTCTACACTGTGGGTCTTAGTGGCGCCCACTCCCCCCACAGTCTGCCTCAGTTCGCCTCATGGTAAAGCTAGCCCTGGGAAGCATATTGCATAATATGATGGACTGCAGTGAAAGGCCCATAGGAATGTTTAAGTGGCACTAACCACAAAAATTGCAATTATCCAAATAAACAGAAGATGTCACTTTATCTTTGATTTTACCCCCAATGTCCCAGTGTTCTCTGTTTTTTATATCTGTTGACAAATTTCATTTTTTGTTGTCCTTAGTTTTGTTTTCAGCATTTTAGAAAATGTAACTGTTGGATCAGGGATGGGAAGATGAGTCACCTTGTAAATATTCATTGCCCTCCCGGTTTGAAAGAATTTCACATTGATATTTTGTCCTTGTAATGCTGAATGCAAGCATTGTGCGGGGGTTATGGGCATACGACTTATATCTGAGAGAAAGTATTTTATGATTCTTTGTAGAAAGTAGGCTCTGCGAAAATTATTTTTTAAATTAATCATAGCAAGCATTGCAAAATTAAACCTGCTTTTCTGCTCAACGGGTGCTTGGAGACAAAAGTAAATGGAAGAATGTTGTGCGAGGTACAAAAAATCGAGTTAGCGTGCATTTCAAGAATAAAAGAAGCTGTGCTTTATAATTAAAGAAAACATAAGGAAGATTCCTAGTGTTCCTGTTCCTAATTCCTAATGTTCACTGTTCAGTTAATTTGTCTTGAGTAGAAAGAAACAGAGCCTAAAACTAGTGGTCATTTTTTAATAAAAAGGGGACAATAGATGCAATGTTAGAGAGCGAGACTATGGATATGTCTACATTGGGGAAAAAAGACCAGAGTCCAGGTTAACTGATTGGCGTTCATGCTACAAGACTAAAAATAGCAATGTGTATTATGTCTACACTGCAGTTAGACATCTGGGGCAGGCACATGCCAGATG